AACATGAAACTGGTCTTTGAAAATTTAAATATCAGGTGAAGTCTTAGTAGGACAAAAGCAACACTTAATTGGTGATGCTGCAATTATGTGTTTGATCACAATGAGCAGATTACCTCACAGCGCTGCACATAAACTGCATAAACAAGTGTACTTTTTAAACAGACTTTTTGTGATAAAGATACAGAAAAGCTACCAATTTACTACAAGGTTTTGAGCATCATTGCACCAAAACTAATCCAAAAATTTCAAAGACAATAAGGAACCTTCTCATATTGTTAATTTAAACTAAAGACAATCTTATGCCTATAAAAACAAAAAAGATTAAAGGTGCAAGACATCCGATGACCCTGATCATTCCAGATTGCTCTTTTACAAGGGTAGTTCAATATTTGACAAGCTTACAACCCTGTACAAATATAACTTGCTATGCTGAAACCTCAAGCAATTCTTTCTCTAAAGCTAAGACTGGTCATCAATATCCCTAAATTTCATGACGAGTACATCATAGAGACAATGCCAGGAGGAATTGACATTTCAACTTCTCCTCTTCTGATATTGATGCCCAACTCATTGCCCTCATAATAGCAGCAAAAAACTATAGAAAGTAGAATTTTGAATTTTCTACAATTTGTAATCAACCTAACAACTTCATCTCTTTATCTTCGTAAGATATTCTTCCCTTTCGGAAGAGTTAATTATATGAAAAAGAAAAGGTTTTACTAGAGAATTGTCAAAAAAAAAAGGAAGAAAAGAACCACAAAAAAAATTCTCTGAACTTCAATCTTTACTACGGCAGAGGAATTGATTCTGATCAATAATTTGATCAGACAAAATTCTATGGTACACAACGAAACAGGCTTGGAAATCATATGCAACAGACCACTTGTCAAAGGAGTATTGATTTTGAGAAGACAAAGTTCAAGTCTTTTCATAGGCCGTATAGGATTTTTCCAACTTGGAACAAATAGAAAAGCAATCAGCTTCAATTAATGAAGATTACAGTTTAATGCCAAGCACAACTCTTACATGCATACAACTATCGATAGAAAAGGTACTAAAGTTTCCAAATAATCAAAAACTAGCAGCAGGCAAACAGGAACTGAATAGGTAGTGTCAAAGCAACACTCATCCACACTCTTATACTAACACATGTAGAAGCCTTGTAGACAATAGTATTTAATCAGGCACACCTGAGTGATTTGCTGAGCATTACCTGTATCACACCTGGATATTCTCATTCTGAACATCGTCATCATCTTCCTCCTCCTCGTCATCATCTTCTTCCTCGTCATCATCCTCCTCTTCAACCCCTTCTCTTATTTTAGCAATCTCAGCCTGTGCCCTCTCAACTATCTGCTTCTTTTGCAACTCCAAGTCCCTCTGAAAATCTCTCCTCATCTTCTCCAGCTCCATCATTTGTCTCCTCTTACTACTCTCAATCTTCTCATAAATCTCTCCAAACCTCTGAATCGAGTCAGCCAACAGTCTAGCCGATTCTCCATCCTCCTCGTCCTTCCCTAGTCCCAAACCCTCCTCTTCCTCCTCATTCTCCTCATCAGACACTCCAGGACTATCCCTCATCTCATCCAACACATTAGACTTATCCAAATACACCCGCGGATTCATAAACACGTACTCCCCAGAATCAACCCCACAACCCAACCCAACATGCCCTCTCATCCTCAGATTCAATAACACATCCATTTTCTTAAAAAACACCCACTTGCTCAAGAATCCACCTCCAACTTTCTCCATTTTCGCCCGCTCTTTCTTGTATTTCTGCTTTAATACATCCAATTGATTCCTGCACTCCATCTCATTCCTCTCCCTTCCACTCATCTCGGAGACTTTCTCGGCCAGCTCAGCCCAATCCTCAGCCCTCAAACTCCTCCTCCCCAGCTCCAAATACCTCTCCCCCCAAACCTCCAACAGCACAAAGCTCTCCTCTTCATTCCAGGAATCCCTCGAGCTCCCACCACCAAGATTGGAACCTTTTGGTGCATTCAGCCCAGCGCGAGGGGCAAGCTCGTAATTTGGGACCAAAGATTCCAACTTTCTTTTCTTTTTGCTTCGCTTGGGCTCATCCTCATAGAAAGATTGATAATAATACCCGCTTTGAGCATTTTGAAATTGTGGGCTTTCTTCGTCATCCTCAAATTCGTCATCTTCCTGGGCAAAGATGGCGTCGTTTGTGGTGTAATGGGTGTTGAGCGGATAAGAGTGAGGGTTTCGAATTGCTGGCTTTGATCGAAATGTGGGCTTTGTTAAATACGGACCTTCTTCATCGGAATCATCCATTGCTCAAACGATTAGATTTAGATTAGATAAGAAAAGAGGAAGAAACTAATTTTATGTAAGCCTCGAATATCATATCAATTTTTTGAGGTTTTGATTAGGGTTTTGAGGATCAGTGAAAGGCGGGGAAAGGGATAAATCAGGAAGGATGATAGACAGAAGATGACGTAAGCTTTTGACTGGCGTATAGGATTTGCTATTTTACAAGTATTTTTCCATTGGGTGCAGTGGGTGACTTGCCACTGGGTATGCTTTTTACAAAAATATCTTTCTTTTTTTTTAAAAAAAAATTAAAAGATATTTTTTAACTTTACAATTGAGAAAGATAAAATAGGGGACTCAAGTATTTGAACCAAAATCACAAAATTGCTACGATGGAATAAAAGCAAACTGATGCTTTTATTATTATTTTCGGATATCATGAAAGTCCACTTAATTATTTTCCTTCGGGGAATACAATTTTGCAAGAGCTATATATCCTAAGCAGGCATATATCTATTCTTATCTATATATACAATTTGTTATTTTACACTTTCATTAAATAGTAGTATTGGTTTCGAATAGGAAACTTAGCTTGTGCCGATGCCTGTATTTGCAAACATTTCTAAAAACGTCAAAAATATTACTCCCTCCGTCCCGTTTTGTTAGTCTTGATTTTTTTTTCACACAGATTAAAAAAGTGTAATTAATTTGGTTGGAAACATAAATTTAGATTAATAATTTCCTAAAATACCCTTATGCTAATCACGAAGAGTGCCAATTAATATCAGTTACAGCTAATGGTGCCAATAAATATCAGTTACCGCCAATAGTGCACCCTGATTGTTTCAATTACCGCCAATAGTGCCAATAAATAACAAAGATAGACTTTTCATTTATCTATGTATTGGAAAAGCTCAATGTATTCAATGTAGTGGGTTAGTATTTAATAACAATGTATTAATAACAAGATATTTAATAAGGGTATTTTAGACAATTTGAAAGATTACTACATTGTTTAATGGGAAAGTGAATTACAACTTGGGACAGACAAAAAAGGAAAACAAAACTAACAAAAGGAGGGAGGGAGGGAGTAGTACTTTGGTTGAAAAGTATTCAAGACATGTTCTTTTTGGAATGCACCCAAAAAGCAAAAGAATAATAATGCCTTGGCTGTGAATAATAATATATTTTGGTACCAAAAATTGTAAAGTTACTTCCATTGTTGTTACTATATAACCTGACATCGATGATCAAAGTCTTCTGGCACAACAGGTCACGATCGGATTGCCTGAAAGATTTGCAGACAAAAGAACAGGAGGGTATACAAGTTTCCCTTTTAGACACCAAACCCCCCGTCCATTTAACCTCAGGAAAAACTCGGACCGGTATACAAAAAGGCGACACGCTTGTAATGAAATATGAGCAACAATTCTATTTGGATTATAAATATTGGATAAAGACAAATTAAACAAATTCAAAAGTTAGACAGAATACTTATTAACATTTGATAAGTTCACAAATTCTGAGAAGGACTTTTCATTGGCTTAGAGAAGAAAAAAGAGATCAAGACTACATGAAAATGAAACTATAGTTCAAGTTAAAATTGATCTAATAATCAATTGAATCCAGAATATGGTATAACGTATTTATCAGATTAATTTTTTGCGGAAAAAGGTGAAAAGAAATTTGCACTTATAATTTTTCTGGTGAATAGTAACGATAGAAAATGGAAACTTTTCAACCCCGTATCTTGACAAGGAAAGTGTTACCGACATCAACAGTAACTAAACTTTTTGGTTTTGTGCCAAATTTTCCGATCCCCTCCCTCGCTCCCTCAGAAAAGAAGGATATGTACGCGCCGCCGCCCAGTAGTTCATTCGGTACTGAACCAGTGAATCAAGTCCGGGGTCCGTGATTCTGATATATTATAAATCGAGATTTGTGGTGTCTCCTCCTTCCCATCCAACTCGTCATATGCTCTGCCAGGCAAAGCTATGTACAGTGAACTGATCGATTCACAAGCTTTTTGTAGTAGTCAGTTCGATCCTTTCTCATGCATGATGAATTAATTAAATGCAAACCTTTCTCCACACACACACACAGATGAATTAAATGCGTGTGTGTGTGTACTCTTATAATTAGTTAAGGAATCATTCCACGCTTAGATGATCTTGAATTCTGAATTAATTGCTTAAACATTAACATTTTCTGTCTATGAGATCAAACTGGAGATTTAGTTAGTAATGAAGGATTGGAAATTGGACTTGTATCATATGATCCCTAGCTAGCTAGCTAGTTGCATGCATACTTGCATGGTTGCGTGTGATGTAAGAGATGGAGCAAATATTAACAGCATGGACATGCATGATCCAACACGGCAGCAAATAGCAAATATTAACAGCATGGACATGCCTGGCTACGGCGCTATTTAGAGCAGTCACGTACGTACTGGTACAGTAGAGTAGTATATGCACGGAGGGGGTACTTGGTCATGACTTGAGCGAGCCGGATGCTTGTTGTAAAGAGCACAATACTGATCACAGCAGGCAATGAATTTGTTCAAGGATCGTTGCCCCGTCAACCCCTAACCTTTTTTTTAGAATAGTTTATGGTTTCCCTTGTTTGGCTTCTTATGTACAATTGCCATAAAAGCGAACAAGTAGGGAATAACAAGTTGGATGGAAAAGAGAATATTTAGTTGAGAAGTGGAGAGTAACGTCGTGTTCTCCTTAACTAACGCCAGAGCATCACCCCATTTTGTTCATCTATAAATAGCTAATCGTGTCTGGCTAGCTAGATTGTACTGATTCTTGTAAAACTAGTGGCAAGGATTCTGACATGGTTGGGAAGAGGCTAATTGTCCTGGTTCTCGTTTTGTTCTTAACGTTGGCGGTCGCAATATATGCAGAGAGTAGTAGGGAGTCAAAGAATATTAATGACGGCGATGTGGAAGTGGGAGCGGGTGTGAAGAAGAATTTACCAGAATGGTTTGTTGGTGGTGGTAGCTCTGCTGCTGCTAGTTGGAGTGGGAATGGGGGTCTAGGCGGTGGTGATATTTCGAAGGGCTACAGCCTCGGCCACTCCTTCAATTTCGGTGGTTCGGGTGGCGGAATAGGAGGTGGCGTTGGCGAGGGTGGAGGTATTGAAGGTGGGATTGGTAAAGGTGGTGGTACTGGCGGTGGTTCGGGTGGCGGAATAGGAGGTGGGACTGCTAAAGGTGGTGGAATTGGAGGTGGTTCGAGTGACGGGATAGGAGGTGGCATTGGTAAGGGTGGAGGCATTGGAGGTGCATCGAGTGGCGAAATAGGAGGTGGCATTGGCAAGGGTGGGGGCATTGGAGGTGGGATTGGTAAAGGTAGTGGTACTGTTTCAGGTGGCGAAATAGGAGGTGGCATTGGCAAGGGTGGGGGCATTGGAGGTGGGATTGGTAAAGGTAGTGGTACTGGAGGTGGTTCGGGTGGCGGAGTAGGAGGTGGCATTGGCAAGGGTGGAGGCATTGGAGGTGGTTCTGGTGGGGGCATTGGAGGTGGTTCGGGTGGCGAAATAGGAGGTGGCGTTGGCAAGGGTGAAGGCATTGGAGGTGGTTCGGGTGGCGGAGTAGGAGGTGGGATTGGTAAGAGTGGAGGCATTGGAGGTGGTTCGAGTGGCGAAATAGGAGGTGGCATTGGTTCGGGTGGGGGCATTGGAGGTGTTTCGGGTGGCAAAATAGGAGGTGGCGTTGGCAAGGGTGGAGGCATTGGAGGTGGTTCGGGTGGCGGAATAGGAAGTGGCGTTGGCAAGGGTGGCGGAATAGGAGGTGGGATTGGTAAAGGTGGTGGTACTGGAGGTGGTTCGGGTGGCGGAGTAGGAGGTGGGATTGGTAAGAGTGGAGGCATTGGAGGTGGTTCGAGTGGCGAAATAGGAGGTGGCATTGGCAAGGGTGGAGGCATTGGAGGTGGTTCTGGTGGGGGCATTGGAGGTGGTTCGGGTGGCAAAATAGGAGGTGGCGTTGGCAAGGGTGGAGGCATTGGAGCTGGTTCGGGTGGCGGAATAGGGAGTGGCGTTGGCAAGGGTGGCGGAATAGGAGGTGGGATTGGTAAAGGTGGTGGTGCTGGAGGTGGTTCGGGTGGCGGAGTAGGAGGTGGGATTGGTAAGAGTGGAGGCATTGGAGGTGGTTCGAGTGGGGAAATAGGAGGTGGCATTGGCAAGGGTGGAGGCATTGGAGGTGGTTCTGGTGGGGGCATTGGAGGTGGTTCGGGTGGCAAAATAGGAGGTGGCGTTGGCAAGGGTGGAGGCATTGGAGGTGGTTCGGGTGGCGGAATAGGAAGTGGCGTTGGCAAGGGTGGCGGAATAGGAGGTGGGATTGGTAAAGGTGGTGGTCCTGGAGGCATTGGAGGTGGGATTGGTAAGAGTGGAGGCATTGGAGGTGGTTCGGGTGGCGGAATAGGAGGTGGCGTTGGCAAGGGTGGAGGCATTGGAGGTAGCATTGGCAAGGGTGCAGGTATTGGAGGTGGGATTGGTAAAGGTGGTGGTACTGGGAGTGGTTCAGGTGGAGGAATAGGAGGTGGAACTGGTAAGGGTGGAGGGCTTGGCGGGGCCATTGGAGGTGGTTCTATTGGAGGTATCGGTGGTGGTTCAAGTGGGGGTATAGGGGGTGGAGGTGCAGGAGGTGGTACCAGTGGAAGAATAGGAGGTGGGGCTGGAGCTGGTAGTGGTGGTTCAGCAGGGGGTATAGGAGGTGGTGTTGGCAAAGATGGAGGTATTGGAGGTGGGATTGGTAAAGGTGGTAGCACTGGGGGTGGTTCGGGTGGAGGAATAGGAGGTGGAACTGGTAAGGGTGGAGGGATTGGAGGGGCCATTGGAGGTGGTTCAAGTGGGGGTATAGGGGGTGGAGGTGCAGGAGGTGGTACCAGTGGAGGAATAGGAGCTGGGATAGGTGGTGGGGCTGGTGCCGGTAGTGGTGGTTCAGCGGGGGGTACAGGAGGTGGAGGTGCAGGTGGTGGTACCGGTGGAGTAATAGGAGGTGGGGCTGGAGCCGGTAGTGGTGGTTCAGCAGGGGGTATAGGAGGCGGAGGTGCAGCAGGAGGCATAGGAGGTGGAGGTGCAAGTGGTGGGGCTGGAGCCGGTAGTGGCGGTTCAGCAGGGATTATAGGAGGTGGTGCAAGAGGAGGATTTGGAGATGGCATTGGCAAAGGAAATGGTGTAGGTGGTGGAGGTGGGGGCGGTGTAGGAGGTGGAGGATTTAGTGGCGGTGGAAGATTTGGAGGAGGTGTTGGCGGAGACTTTGGAGGAGTAGGAGGAGGTGGCAGTGGGGGTTCAAGCATAGGCGTTGGCAGTGGTAGTGGGATAGGAGGAGGATTTGGCGGAGGAGGAGGAGGTGGAGGTGGGGGTGGGATTGGTGGAGAACTCTAGTCTTGGGGGGGGCTGAAACAGCTAAATTATTTATCGGGCCAAGCACAATGGGAAACGTTTATGTTCTTCGCAAGTTCGAATTAATTTCTTGTTGTAAACTTGTTCTTCGTTTGTTTATGTTTTGTTTCGCATCTCTATTGATGTTTTATCTCTTCTGTAATTCATTTTCCCCTACTGATAATTAATCGCTCCAGGAGAATGTATGCCCTGCAAAATGAATTTTGTTTCAGGACAAAGCTGAATAACGAAACATAGATAAAAGTAAAAAAATTAAAAATAGTAAGTAAAGAGAAGGGAATTAAATGTTGAAAGCCATGGAGCAACAATGCTAGGAAAAAGTGAAAGTAATAACGGAAAATGGGAAAGCAAAAAGAAAACATGGAAAAAAAAGAGAGTAAAAAATCGTTCCAAGAACTCCTACTAATTTCCAACAGCATCATCATCTCCAACAACTTGCCATCGCCCGTTCTTTTCGTTCTCGTCCAAACTAACTATTTGTATGGCGATCCCTGTTTCGCTACAGTTGCCATTCCTCACCACTAACTATTTGTGTAGCTCATTTTCTCCTTTGTGTACCACTAACTTGTGGCTTTCACGGGGATTAGGTTTGTCCAAATATCAAAAGTCCTTTGGGCTTGAAAAAAAAAAAACATTTTCTCCTACCAACTGCAGGAGATCCACATCCTTCCGCCGCATCCCCGGTCGCGTAGTGACCCTGCAATTTTGTCCGGGCAAAGATCAATAAGAGTATGAAATGAGGCAACTCCGACAAATAGGACAAGAAGCAAGCACCCACATCAAACCCCCCCTTTTTTTTTTACAGCAGATTCATAACTTGTTGTCATAGTTTCTTTTGGGCTGTGTGGTTGTCTAAAACTAAGCTCTTTGAAGTAATGCGGGCATCCAACTAACAACTTCAATCAACACTTGTAGGCAGCAGTGGGGGAAAACTTTTTAACTTCAATCATCAATTGTTTAAGCAGTTAAAATATCTTATTCAATCTCGGGATACCGCCTTAAATAACCGCAACCAGAGAGTGAAATAGGTCGAGAAGAAAGAGTCTGAGGCCGGGTTGGACGGCATACATCTTGGTTGGTCTTATGTATAAATTTGATTTTAGCTGCAAGACCAAAACCCTGTGCAAAAAAACCAAAAGTCCACCTTTTATTTTAAGTTCCTCTCATATATATGACTTACATACCCGGCGGCTCAACATTCTTGGAAAACAATCAAATCGAGGGGGGCGTCAAAGAGAGAATTTGCCATTCAATCTTGTGAACTAATCGAGACCAAAATTGAAAAAAGATATAAAAATGGAGAGGAATAACCAATCGATAAAAGAACACGAAACCATTAACTGTTTCAATAGAGGTACGCGAAAGGGTTGGGGGCGATCAAGTGATTTCAAATAGTAATCTCCTATCCAAACACACCCGTATCCACGTATTTCAGAGAGGTTAATGGAAGCCGCGTGGATTTCCATTTGCAGAACACCCCTGATCAGGCTGGGGAGTTCAAAATACTAATCCCTAGATTTATCGTCTGGTCATTTTATTCATGTTGCACCTCATTGAACGATCTTTTCGCGTGTAACAAAAAAAATTCCCTTTCTTTCCAACAGCATTTTTGGTCAAATAATTAATCTGTTCTGGCATCTACTGCGATGGCATCCGTCGCGGATGTTATTGTTGCTGACCTCCTCCGCAAGTACTCTGAAGCTGCTTAATTTCCATAATGGATAACACATCAGCCTGTTGAAAAATCTCACTGAAATTGTTGTACGATATATGCGACGACTATAGCTAGCTGCTAGCTATGAAGTTTTGACTTCCTGTAGCAAGTATGGTACCCAGTCGATCATCTCAGAATTTGTTTGAACTCGTTTACGTGTGCCATCGAACTGCAGATAAAGAAAGCTTTTCGGAAGAAAATTTGGATTGGTTTAACTAAAACGAATCCAACCTTCTCAAGTGACAATACGCAAGAAACAAGAGATCAATGAGTTCCAACTCATTGCTTGTATTTGTAAGTAATGGACATTACTGTGAAGTGAATGTCGATCACAATTCACTAACTCAAAAGTAATACTCAGGCAGTGAGTCGGGAAATTCATCCGGGGCAGTTAACTTCTGAAATGGGCTCCATTAAACTTTTTCTTACTTTGTCTTTTCCTTAACTACACGTCATTGCACCTCAATTTTGCACCAAGAAATGTGGTTGAAACTTTCATGAGCATCGTGCTACAGCAGGGAAAACTGGATGGTTTTATTAGCAGTAGAAAAGAAAAAGTACTCGAACTTTGACATGGTCAAAGCCGTGTCTACACCTTTTATCGTGCTACCAATGACTACCAACAATTCCCTCAACACTTTTTTTTTAAGTGAAAATTCTTAAATTTCATATCTTCTTCTATTTACGATTCCTTCCATCTTATCATCTGGTGCAACCATCTTTCCATCAGTAGAAGTTAATTGAATATTGAGCAAAAAAAATAATAATAAAGCCATAATCATATCCTCAAATTAAATATTTTTGTTTTTCAATCATTTTATTCAAGGGTTAAAGGTACCAAGTCTCCATAATATTTGGTGTTATTTGTACTTTCTCCCCTACCTATTTTTTTTGTTGCACTTTACTCCCTCTGTTAAGCCACATCATCTTTTATAGTTAAAGAATATCAAAAGTTTCAATTTTGTCCTACCTATATCCATTTTCTCCATCCTTCGTTTCCGTGCCCAAGCTTCTCATCTCACCTTAATGCAATTTTTTTTTTCTTTCGAGAAAATCAAGAACTAAACTCCCAAAATATTTTACTTTTATTAAAAATAAAAAATCTCATCTTGTTAACTAAATTTGAAACTTTTTTATTGTTCAAAATATGACTCCTCAAATTAAATCTCACAGTGTTAATTAAAATATGACCCCTCAAATTAACATCAATAAGTAGAGGTGAGATATAAATGTGATAAAATATATCTCATATGCGTGTCATGGACATTTGAAGATTTCAATGAATTTTTTGTTGTTGTTAAAATAGCATAGTATTATTTTAAATTCTACAATAGATTCCAAGGGCATGTGATTATTTTAAGTGGTTGAAATTCATTTTTAATGGCATTTTCTTGAAATGAAAAAAAAAAATCAAATCTCATTTTCAAGTATTGTTTCTACTAATTGTTATTTTGAGATCATTATCTCCTTATTAAGCCATTGTGTTGACCATTAGTTGGGGGTGGGGGGGAACTGCAACAAAAATATTATTAGGGGAAAAAGTGCAAATAATACCAACCTTTAGTGGGGTTTAGCGCTTTTAAGCCTTTATTAAAATTTGGGTGGAGGCAGATGAGAAGAAATTCTCACGTATGCCGCCGGAGTAAAGATGGAATTCAGAGAAGAACCAAATTGTCGAAACAACAACGCAGAGAAAGAGAAGATTGGGTGGAATTCTAATCCTCCAAAACAATAATCTAAGCTATTGAAAGCCTAGCGTATGAGCTATTGATCCGCAGCAAAATGTACGTGCATAACACGCCTTTGCCATCCACTTGTTCTCTCGCGGTTGCGCAATTCCAGTGGATTCGTAGGAAATTGCAAACTTTTCGTGTGCCGTCGTCCCAGTTAATAGTTTGTCACAAATTTTCTTGTCTCCACTTTTACTTACCAACTTTGCAATGATGAAGGCCGTTGAAGAAAGAAAAGAGAAAAGTTGATGAATTATCATATGAAAGAATTACGTTTCAAACTTGAGTAAAATCTCTATCTGTCTGGCCTGAATGTGTAGCACGCCGTCACTTTGATGGAGTGGCCACGCAAATCTCATGCTAACTGAGGAAGGTCGTATGTAATAATGGATAGAAAGAGAAGCACTCGACAAGTGGTAAGCAACAGCATATTTTTGCAGATTTGAGGAACCAACCAACACCTTTACGCTCGTTAGTTCTTTTTCCTGGAAAGACACTAATTTCGAATTTTGTATGCTCTTAATTCTCAGAGAAATGGAGGTAAGATGTTCAATCAATGGATCAATTCATGCAAAGATCGTACCTTCTTATTTGTAGTATGAACTCTACAAAATTAAATATAATTATTTAATCCACTAATATTGGTTTTCGTACTTAAGATTAATTGGTGTGAAAAATATGCATACCTTCATACAAAATCAAATGTATAATATTTGTAAGTATTTCATTTTCAGATCAAATTAAACATGCTATTACATTTATTTCTATCCACATATCATTTATTTTTTAATATACATTCCTATTTTTATTTCAAGATTCAACTTCCATAAAAAGGTAGCTCATAAATAATGTACATATTTTATTATAGTTTGAACTATTGCTAAACAAATCTCATATTTCAATTATTTTGGTACAAATTTCTTTTTTTTTTTTAAAAAAAATTCACGCTCTCTTTTAATTCTTTTCAATAATGACACTATCGTGCGTAGTAGTAGGACTGTGTATTTTTACTAGCTCTTCAGTAATTTTACGTTGATATCTCTTCAATTGTCTGGGATAATACTATAGATCCGGTGTCACGTACACAAAACATGAAGTATCCCAACAAAAGCGTAGAGGAATAATATGTCGCCACGTAGCCATCTTAGTAACTTTTCGGATTAAATCCATCCGCAGATCGGTTCCAACCCTCGAGCCGCCCTTTTACGTGTTTTTGTCACATGTTCCAATTTATCAAGTAAATCTCAGTCGCTGAAGCAATAGTTGCAAGCCACCGTTGAAATATATACTTTTCCTATGGGGTCACGATTATGAAAAACTAAAAACAATAATAATTCTTTAATTTTTTTTTTGTATCGACACATTTCACCCATTTAAAATAATAAGAGACCAGAATAATTTTTCATGTCAAAGTATTTTTCCATGTTACTCATTCCGAGCATCTACATATAATGGGTTAGCTTCACCTTTTTTCTTGTTGATTTAAAAAGCACACACCGTTGATTTCAATCCCCATTAAAAAGCTTCTTTTCTTTTTT